GTTATCTTGCTCTACAGATTTAGTCTTTTCTCTTCCAGTAACTTCCAACTCTTATAGTGGTTGCTTGCAGCCTTGTTGGAAGTGAAGATGTTAAAAAAAAAAAAAAAAAAAAAAAAAAAAAAAAGCTGACTGGGACTCTTTCCGTGATTTTCGTGATTTTCTTCATGATGGCCCTTGGGTAGAAATCTTTCGTCTTCCTGTTGACTAATGTGCTTCTTACATAACTTCGTGGATTCAGGCTGGCATGGAATCCTTTATTTCCTCTCGACGATTCCAGGTCAAGCCTCACTCTTCTCCATGGTTTTCCTCACATTGTGCTGCTGCAATTGCCAATCGAAACCATTACTTCCATATCTATCAGCAAAACAATTCTCCAGAAAACAGACGTCTGTTTATTATTGCTAGGAACCATTGTAAAAAAGTTTTGTCTAACGCCAAAGCCTGCTATTCTCAGATCATGAAATCTCGTATTTTATCACAAAAATTAGGCTCTCGTGATTTCTGGAGAATCTTTAATAGTATCAATAATAAGGGCAAGTCTGTAATTCCACCTCATTTGTATGGTTCAGACTTTGTCACCTCACCTAAAGACAAAGCTGAATTGTTTGCCAAGAACTTTTCATCAGTACCATATCTTGATGCCACTAGTTGCGTTCTACCTGATATAGCTGTCAATCAGGTTTATCCATTGCTCGACATTCATATCACTCCAGCTTCTGTATCTAAAGTGATTTCTTGTGTAGACTCTTCTACAGCTTGCGGCCTGGACAACATACCTGTTATAGTCTTGCAGAAGTGTTCTCAGGAGCTGTCGTCTATCCTTTCAAAACTATTTAACAAGTGCTAATCAGAATCTTGTTTTCCAGCCTGCTGGAAAGCAGCATCTGTTATCCCTATTTTTAAGAATTCTGGAGAGCGATCCGATTTATCTAACTACTGTCCCATTAGTCTTCTTCCTATCATAAGCAAGGTTTTTGAATCTTTAATCAACAAACACTTAATCTCTCATTGATCTTTCTAATTCTAGTATAAAAGTTGTCCTTGATGGACAGCACTCTTCTTCTTATTCTGTAACCTCAGGGGTTACTCAAGATTCAATCCTTGGCCCTATACTCTTTTCAATATACATTAACGATCTTCCAGATATTCTCACATCTAAGGTGGCATTGTTCGCTGATGATACTACCATTTATTCTTGTCACGATAAGAAGCCAACTCCCTCTGATTGCTTGCAGGGGGCATCTGAGCTTGAAAAGGATCTCACTTCTGCTACAGCATGGGGCTCACAGTGGCTGGTGAACTTTAATTCAGATAAAACTCAATTTTTTTCAGCCAATCGTTATTGCAATAATTTAGACCTTCCTATATTTATGAACGGTAATGTACTTGATGAGTCTCCTACCCTTCATCTTCTAGGATTAATTCTTACTTCTGATCTTTCTTGGAAACCTTATATCAAATCCGTTGCAAAATTAGCATCTGCTAAAGTTGCTTCTCTTTATCGAGCTCGTCACTTTTCTACTCTGGATTCTATTCTCTATCTCTATAAATCTCAAATCCGGCCTTGTATGGAATACTGTTGCCATATCTGGGGCGGATCTTCTAATGATGCTCTTTCTATTTTAGACAAGGTGCAAAAACGCATTGTAAACATAGTTGGACCTGCTCTTGCAGCCAACCTTCAATATCTGTCACATAGTCGTAATGTTGCTTCTCTTTCTCTTTTCTACAAATACTATAATGGGCACTGCTCTAAAGAGCTAGCGTCTCTTGTGCCATCTACTAAAATTCATTCTCGTGTTACTCGTCATTCAATTAAGTCTAATCCTTTTTCTGTTACTGTTCCTAAGTGCTCCAAAAACTCTTATTCGTCAAGTTTTTTCCCTCGAACATCAGTTCGTTGGAATTCGCTTTCTTCATCTTGCTTTCCTGATTCATATAATTTGCAATCTTTTAAGTCGTCTGTCAATTGTTATCTTGCTCTACAATCTTCATCTTTTCTTTTCCAGTAACTCCCAACACTAATTAGTGGTTGCTTGCAGCCTTGTTGGAAGCGAAGATGTTAAAAAAAAAATAATAAAATAAATAAAGAGAATATCCCCAATTTTTGATGAATTAATTTTTTTACTTAGGATCAATGTACCGTATGGACAACCTCAAACAAATATGTTTTGTAAAATATTTTTTAAATTAAAAATAAATGCAGTAGTCCAGTCATTAAACTTTAAAGTATGACTAATCCTAGAAAGAAAAAAAAAAGCTGATGTTTTTACAGAATGTTCTATTATGTACCTAGCAATCCAAACCAGTTAAGTTAGAATAATTTTTTTAAATGTTAAACTTGAAAAAATGGATAAAATATGACATTTAACATATTATTATTTTTACTGATTTGCTTTGTGGGAGTGCAATGAACTAGTATTGCATTTGGGCAATTTTAATGATCTGGGTTTTTTATTTAATGATTCGTGAGAGTTCAATGCAATATTATACTGATATGTGCTGTGGAAGTTCAGTGAAGTATTATACTAGTTTGTGTTGTACTTGTGCTAGGGAAAATTTAAAACATGTTTTTCAAGTTTTCCATTCAAAGGCAATTTCAAAATTCGAATTTCATACACTTTTAAAGAAATCTCTGAATCTTAGTTTTCCTAAGAGATAATAAATTTTCAAATCTTTTCATAGAATGAGCATCTGTAAAATTTCAACTTTTTAAATTTGTTTCTAGGTTATAACCCAAATTGGACAACATGTATCTTTTAATTGAACTATGCTTGCAATATATTTTTAATTATAAATAATTGCAGGTATGTTTTATCGAACGATGCTTGCAGTATTTTTCAAAAGATTTGGCATTGTTGTTATGTGCTGTAAGTTTAATTTCTACATTTTTTTTTTCTGCGTATGTATGTATGTATCATACATACTGTGTATGTATGTATGTATGTATGTATGTATGTATGTATGTATGTATGTATGTATGTATGTATGTATGTATTTATGTATGTATGTATGTATGTATGCATATAGATATGCATGTACCTATGTATATATATATATATATATATATATATATATATATATATATATATATATATATATATATATATATATATATATATACAAAGATGCATATATATTTACATAAATTTATACATTTTTTAAATTACCATAAAAATGCAAACTTAATTGACTAGAATCTTTTTTTTTAATGCTTTATGCAGTTTTTGTTTTTCAATTTTGTTTGTTTTGTTTTATTGACTATTTATATATATATATATATATATATATATATATATATATATATATATATATATATATATATATATATATATATATATATATATATATATATATATATGTATATATATATGTATTTATAAATACATATATGTATTTATAAATACATAACCACAATAAATTCTTTTTTTAACTATTTAAGAATACTTTTAACCCAAAAAATGAATAAAAAAGTCAAATATTATTTATATTTTATTTTGAATATTATTTATAAAAATGCACTCCAACTATGTATAAAAAAAGAATATGTTTATCAAATTAACGCGTTATGACCGTCATGAAAAAAAGTCAAGAAGTTTTTTTTAGGCTTCGTATCAGACTTTATAAAGATAAAAATATAGTAAAAGTAAAGATACTGGTATAAGTTTTATCATTGTTTTAATTTTTTTAAAAAAAGAGCTTCAGATGATAGTATTAAGATGTAACAAATATGTTACAACCATCACGCTATGTTTGTTTTTCCATAACGGCTTCTTGACATATATATAAAAAATTTCAGAGCGAACGATTTTATTATAGAAACCAAGTTAAAAATCATTTGCAGTTTGTAGTTAAGAATAATTTAAAATTAGAAATTATTTCTTTTTAAAAATATTAATCACTTATTTAAAATAATTGATGTTAATAAATGAGAAATAAAAACATTTAACATAAAGAAATTTTTTTTTGTTAAAATGTTTTTTATAGTTTGCATTGCAACGTTTTTGTTTATTTGACTTTGTGGTTTTTTTAATTATAAATTTGATGTTTTTTTTTTTAAAATCATAACAGAACGTTAATCTCAAAAGTTATATTTAATAACATTTTTTAAATGCCTAAATCAAATGCTGAAAGATCAAAAGCTATAGAGCAAGAAACGGAAAAGCGTTGTTGGAAAAAAAAAAGAAAGGAAAGTTATTAAAGAAAATGGTTTTCAAAGAACACAATAGAAATCAATACAAGCTAAAAAATCAAGTGAAAGTTGGCAACCAAAGCTTGAAAACAATTTTTTTACTTTGAAAGATTTATTTTATAAACTTATGTTGGGAACAGGGAGCATTATCCATTTAAACTTTATTAAAGTATTAAAGTATAAATAAATATAGCAGCCTGCCTTTAGTTACCAATTTTAAATTTAACAAACTTAGTATCAAAAAACTATAATTGCGAACTTTGATAATGTTATTAAGTTTATACTTTTACAAAGTTGACATGGTTTTAATGATTATTCATCTTTTTTTTTTGATTGCGTTGTTTTACTTATTGTTTTTCAAAATTAGATTTTTCGTTATGACCGTCATCATTACGACCGTCACGATAAAAAAACCATAGAAGTGCTTATAAAGATTTTAATGATTATTAAAAGAATTTAATGATTATTCAACTTTTTTTTTTTGATTGCGTTGTTTTACTTATTGTTTTTAAAAATTAGATTTTTCGTTATGACCGTCATCGTTACGACCGTCACAATAAAAAAACCATAGAAATGCTTATAAAGCATCAAGTAAAAACTATGAAACTCAGCATATAATAACATCAATATGTGTTAAATACAGGCACCAAATAATACCATGCCATTCGCTACAATTAGTTTAACAAAGCTGTTTTGGTCAGAAGTGGTAAAAAGTTACGACCGTCAGGCTATGAAGAGTTAATTTTTGAAAAAAGTACTTCAATACTATAAACTTAAAAAGTAGACTTCAATACTATAACTTTTGCATATTAAATTATGTAATAGTATTCCACATTTCTGAGAAGTTTAAAGTCATTTTTGTTTTTGGTTCATTTTTAATAGCTTAAATAATGTCAAATGTTACGACCGCCACTTTCGCGGATTTGCCTCTATATATATATATATATATATATATATATATATATATATATATATATATATATATATATATATATATATATATATATATATATATATATATATATATATATATATATATATATATATATATATTAGGGGTAGTCAATTTGAAGAAAATTTCAAATCTCTAGTACCATATACTCTAGATTTGGGGCAAATATTAAAAAAAAACTCCCAAAAAATTTGAGCTCAACAGGATCACTTAATTCTTACCTCCTAAGCACTTTGTTAGAAAAAAAATTCTCAAAAACTTTCAAAAATTACTGATTTCACAGATCCATAGGGGGGGGGGAGAGTTTAATTACAAAATTTGAAAGTCTTTTTTCTGGGTTATTTTTTATTTATTTTATATTTGAGTAAAAATACATGGTATCATAGTTTTTTCCAAAAAAAAATTTATTTTTGTATTATGAAATAAAAAAATTACAATATATGATTACATACTTACCGCATTTATGCTACTAACAAAAGATTATAACTAATTGTCCAGAATATTATCTTTTTATTTTTTTAATTAATATTGTAAATCTACAGTAAAATTTAGTAATATCTATGAGGTGGGACTTTGATTAGACCCAGCTAGAGTAACTCAAAGAACAATTCAACGGTTCTATTTGTTGCAGTAGTAAATTGTTTTGCAATAATTATTTTAAATTTGATTTTTTAGATCAGTAAAAATTAAATTAATTAATTTAAATATGTATAAAGAAGAAGTACGTGGTCAGAAAACAGAAAGTGAAAGAATACAGAAGGAATGCCAAGGTCTAAAAAAATACTATTATCAAAGAAACAAGTAATAAAAGTTAATAATTACTTTTATAACAAATCCCTGAAGCTAAAAACTAAAGCTAAACTATTATCAAAGAAACAAGTAATAAAAGTTAATAATTACTTTTATAACAAATCCCTGAAGCTAAAAACTAAAGCTAAACTATTATCAAAGAAACAAGTAATAAAAGTTAATAATTACTTTTATTACAAATCCCTGAAGCTAAAAACTAAAGCTAAACTAAAGCTAAACTTTTTATTTCTACTCTTTTGTAATTAAGGCTTCAAACAGGGATGGAGATGCAGCACTTAGCTTACAAACAATCATTTTTGCCAAGAAAATAAAAAAAAGCTGTTCTTGCTTGAGCAAAATTTTTTTGCTCTCATCAAAAAAATTTTGATGTGAAATAGAAAGTAAGTGTAAATGTATTTTGGCATAGGTAAAAGAGCCATGGATTAAAGCTGAATTTTCTATACTAAATGATCAAAGAGGAGTACCAAGAGGTTTCTGGAGGACCAAGAGGTTGAGGAGTACCAAGAGGTTGAGGAGGACCAAGAGGTTGAGGAGGACCAAGAGGTTGAGGAGGACCAAGAGGTTGAGGAGGACCAAGAGGTTGAGGAGGACCAAGAGGTTGAGGAGGACCAAGAGGTTGAGGAGGACCAAGAGGTTGAGGAGGACCAAGAGGTTGAGGAGGACCAAGAAGGGGAAAGAAGATTTTTGCTTTGATCAAAAAATAAAAAGTACAGAAAAAAAGTATGTATTTTTTTGAAACTAAAAAAAAAAAAAAAAAAAAAGTTTGTAAGGCCTTCTAAGCAACTTACTTAAAATTTGCAAATAAAAACAGCTAAACAAAAATAACAATGTTCACTCACTCTCATATAATTAAATTAAATTATTAATTATTAAATTCTTTTGACATTTTTTAGGCTAAGTGAGTAGCAGAAAGAGGAAGCAGTGTGTGAAACAACAATATAAGGAATTAGAGGATACAACTAATGTTAAGATTGATGCAGATACTAGTGAGGATTCCTCGCATGATTCTGATTAATCCTGGAGAGTGATTTGAAAGAAAAAGTCACTGCTGAAATTCTCATAGATATTTTTGCTGGTAATGTAGCTCTTATGGCTACAATCAGCCAGTCTACAGCAACTAGGAAAAAGAAATATGCTAATCGAAATTCATAAGTCTTTCACAGGAAGATGTGAGATTGTCCATCATTATATGATCAGGCAAATCACATTTTGCTTTGACGATTTGACTGCAGCTATTTCAAAAAACATTTTAAAAATGCGTTGAATGAATATTCTGAATTATACCTTAAGTGAAATAAATTACATCGAAACTTTTTAAGAAACGTTTTTATATTAGCAAAAGGCTTTTAAATAAAGTAACAATTTTATTGATAATGATTTTTTTTAAGTATTATTGATAGTTGTATATAATTTTTTAAAGCACAGACTTACACATTACACCTATACACCCTTATGCACATACAGCCTGTTTACATCGTTTGCATCCTTTTTGTTCTTTCATAGATAAACTATCTTTGTTTGAACTCATCCTTATTTAGATAATATTTTCTTTTAATAGATAATATGTGGTTGAAATGTATATTTATATATATATATATATATGAACGTATATAGATATAGATTTGTATGTTATGTATATGTGGTTATCATGTGTGATTGAGTTTTTAATTTAAGGATTTATATATATATATATATATATATATATATATATATATATATATCTATATATCTATATATATATATATATATATATATATATATATATATATATATATATATATATATATATATATATATATATATACATATATATATATATATATATATATATATATATATATATATATATATATATATATATATATATATATATATATATATATATATATATATATATATATATATATATATATATA